ACCACTTCTTCCATATCATCCACATCCTCGACCACCTCACACCTCTCCTCCACCCGCTGGACGATCTTAGCCTCTTCTGATCCGCATCCCCTTCTCCATCCTCCATCCTTCTTGCCTTCCCCCGTCCCCTCCACCACCCCCGGACCACCTTAGCCTTTTCCGGACCTGCATCCTCTCGCCCCCCTCCCACACCATACCCCGCCAAGCACCTCCTTAACCACCTCTTCCATCATCCACATCCTTGACCCCCTCACACCTCCCCTCCACTACCCCTTGGACCACCTTAGCCTCTTCTGATCCGCACCTGTCCCCTCCACCACCCCTGGAACACCTTAGCCTCTTCCAACCTGCATCCATCCTCTCCCCCCCCTCCCCCATACCTCCCAATCACCTCCTCCACCACCTCTTCCATATCATCCACATCCTCGACCCCCTCACACCTCCCCTCCACCACCCCTTGGACCACCTTAGCCTCTTCTAATCCGTATCCCCTTCTCCGCCCACCGTCCTTCTCCCCTTCCGCCTGCCCCCTTACTCCGCCCCTCTCCCCCTCATCCTTAACCCCTTCCCCACCCGCCTCATCCTTTGCCCCTTACCACCCCACGGGACCACCTTACTCCCTTACCAACAGTTTCATTCCTGGAAAATTTTGCATTACACACCTCAAACATGCATTATTTGCCAAACGTCACTTTAAACACTGGCTTGCCCTGCCGTGCCCCACTGATGACAGTTCACGTGTGCAAAAATACCTCGGCGTCAGATGGCCCTGCCATCTTTCAACTATACCCCCACTGATAACGGGCAGAAATTTTCAATATGACCTTATCGGTATCCTTCATATTTTCACCATGCCCCTGTATAGAGGGGCATGTCTCTCTCTCTCTCTCTCTCTCTCTCTCTCTCTCTCTCTCTCTCTCTCTCTCTCTCTCTCTCTCTCTCTCTCTCTCTCTCTCTTGGGCGTGTACTGAAAGAGATTGAATAGGTTAGTTACAACAGTTGAGAATAGGTCCATTGGTAAAGGGCAAAATCGAAAGTGGGCTTACTCTTTAGGGTGATATCCTTTGAGGCCTCTTCTTTCTTTGCATCTGGGTCCTCCCAAAACTGTGCCAAGTAACTCTCCAGATAGATGCCTGTTCCCTTCACCTGTGCATAATGACAACAGCATCGAGATTAGTCAAACGATGAGTTTATTGGTATGATACAACTGGACAGCTAAGGTACTTGGTAGTAGAAAAGTAGATGAAGTAATCTCTTAGGATCTGTCCCCATAGAGGTGGGGCTGGTCTGGGTTCTATAAGCAGTGGAAAGGTAGGGCGGGACTCGTAGAGAGGATACCAATAATGATAGGATCTAATGGGGCAGTAGTCAATCTCCTGCTTAAAGAAAGGATTAGCGCAGTGTACAATAGTAGGAAGGGGATATGGTACTACACCCAATAGAAGGGGATAAGATTGACTGGAGTGTGTCTTAAGTTGGCGTCCAGTGGGGGGTGCAGACTCGGAGTGCTGAAGAATCAGATCCCTGCAATAGCCGGTCGACACTGGTAAGCCACAACTTGCAATAGGTTTATGGGTAGATGCGGTGGTATTCCGCAAAAGGTAGACCCGGAGGCATAGCGAACGACCTGAATGGCCAAATCACCGAGTCCCAAGGGACCTTACCAAGTCCGAACCCGATCTCCACAACAACATGGCACTTCTCTTTTTTTTAAATGGGGGGAAGGGGGCGAACAAAGTGCACCCTATGCTGACGAGTGGGCACTAAAGGACGCTTAAATGATGATCAAGTTTGAGCCCTCACACACCTGGACAACTAGATCTAATGGGCGAACCATAACACATGGCCAGTGGTCAAGCACAACCAATACGAGGCACATGATCCCCATGGAAAGGTCTAACGCACCTGAGCATAGACTGTCCGGCAAACCTCCTCCTTGTTTTCGAATGCGCTGAATTTCATCGGCCGAGAATTGAACTTTGTGATCAAAACTGTGGCATTTTCGCTTGCTTCCACTCGCATGATTCTCTCCATGAGCACATTGATAGTCTTTGTTTCATCACTCTCACTGACTGTTGTCGGCGCAAAGCAAATACGCTTCTTGGTGATATACATGGTCCCCATGACTTTCTGGAAGTCTCTGCACAAAGAAAAAGGTGACATGCCACATTGTGCAATTAGCGACTTCTGCGAGAGAGCCTTTGTCGCAGAGACGCTGCCTCAAGGATCGCAGTCCATAAAAAGAGGCCCACAACACCCATGATCCAGCCACCACCAGTATTCCCAGCCATTTTGTTCCCACATGGCCGTAAATGTGCCGCGACCTTCGGCGCTCAGCCTACCAGACATAAATGACTCGCGGCGCCAGACAAACAGTTACAAATTTGTGCCTGAGGGTATAGGCTATCAGAGTGGCTCAGGAGCACTTGCCCGGCCAGTGCAGTCTGGACCCAGATGACCTTTCTTTATCTTCAATTTGGTAAATAATTCCAAATTAAATCTCAGGGCAAAAGTTGTTTAATTCAACACTGGGCTACAGTTGTAATGTTTTTTTTTTTTTTTTTTCCCAGACCTACAAGAAACTCTGGGCTACAGCTGCAGTGGCTAAATATTGTTTGATTTTTTATTCTGCATAACATAGTGTTATTAGTACTTGTACAGATTGTTTTTTGGGCAAGGACCTTGTCCGGGTCTTTGCCCAGACCTCGCCTGGTTGGGCCACCCAGGCAGCCCAAGGTGGCGCAGGCATCACGGCTGGTAGCCCAGGCCCACGCCGATTAGTTTTTAACTGGCGCAAAGAACAAATCCGTATTGGGAAAATCAAGGCTCGGAAGTAACAGGTGGTTTAAACCACCAGTACATGGCCCCAGCCTTGCAGGAATTTGTTCGTCGCCTACTCCGAAAATTTTGTGGCTCAGGCCTACTGGACCACACTGGCTGGCGGCGCCAGCCAAAAAAGAAGAAAAGTTCAGAAAAGCTTGGCGCACAGTGCAGCGCCTCCAGGCTCAGATGTACTGGTGGTTTAAGCTTCAAAATAAAGGTGTCTTATCATCTCATGCACATCATTCATGGCCCTGTATTCCTGTCAAGGCCAAGGACTGCCCAAACATAAACCCACGAACTCCGACCATACACTGGCAAGCCAGACATACCTGCAAGGAAAGGATGCCACCAGCTGCTCGTTCTTCGGAAGCCTGAATATGTACTGTTAAATTAATTCAGAACAAACAAAGAGAGAATACAAAACGCAACTCCATGTTATTCCGATAAATATGTTGACATGACATGTATATAGAGAAGATGAAACTTCACACCAAACTGAGAAACGAGACAAGAATCAGCGCCTGAAGAATTTCCACTCGAAAATATGATATAATACAATTGGAGAGTCCAGATGTTCAGCGGCAGTGGCCGCGATCCAGTGCAACAACCCGACTGCAGGTATGTACCCAACTCCCCCTCTCTCGGTGTCTGCCTCTCCCTCTCTCTTGTATCTCTCTCTTCTCTCACTCTCAAGACTTGAATCGCTCAACCTCCGTCCTCCCTCGCCTAGATCTACCCTGAATGCAACTGCAGTGTGTCGCCCTATTCTTGCGGCTATGGCCGCCTTCTTCTTCCCTGGCAGGCACTCGCTCCTCCTCCAGCATCCACCTTCCATCCACATCACACTATCTCACAAGTAACCCGCAGTGCTTCCGCAACTTGCACATGAACAGTTGATCCTGCTTGCTGATGCTGTTGGGCATTTATACTTGCTGATCAGCCTTCCAGACATCTTCTGTTGGCTATGGGTTGGGCCCCCTTTGCCTTTGTTCCCTGCTTCTGGAAGCTTACGGGCTCTTCTTGGGGTTGGCTGCTTGCATGGATTGACTGACACCTGGCCTCACGACTCTGGTGATCCTGGCTGACGTTTGTGATGCCTTCTAAAGACAGACTCTTCAGCCCATGACTGCTACCTACCAGGGACTTCCTACCATAATCTACTTAACTAGCTCGCCGAGGCCTCTGCAATCATGATACAAACGAAACTACTCTTCTAGAGCATTTGTGAACATTGTAAAGTGGCTGGAACCACTAACAGAACACAGAATGCGGTTTGAGATTCGGGACTCGGCACTCAGACCCAGGACTCTCATGCAGGGTGAAATCCTTTCAAATTCCAATATAGTCATGACAAGCTTCACGCCATTCCCTACAAGAGCATCAGTGGGTTACTTGCCTAGAAACGGCGAACAAGAAAAGAGAACCAAAACACCTCAAAGTTCAGTTATTGAATTATTGTGAAAACAAGGGAGTTTGATTAACTTTGATAAATCAAGTGGAAGAAAACCTTCACGGCTAAGAGCAACAGCTCATGGCATTCTGCTAAAATGCCTCTATACTGTTGACAAAAAAGTTGAAAAAAAACATTATATCCAAATGAAGATCAGAAACGAGAGGGAACGATCGGCTAAAATGATTTGCACCCTTCAATCGGGTCATCACAGAAATGAAGGTCACAAAGCAACTGGGCACAACAAGAACTGATAAGATGAAGAAGCAACAGAGAAGCAAAAGAATTAAGGCAGCAAGTGGTCCCATTCTGAGAAAGTGTAGCCACCCTATGCCTGCAATCCCCATCAGGAGATTCCCCGTGCCCGTCTGACGACCCTCACTGTCCCGTCCGACGACCCTCACTGTCTACGATAGACCGCACTATTGGCTGAGAAGAATTGCATGGCTTAATACAAGACCGAAAGGAAGGCAGAACAGATGAAGAACATGCAGAAATAAGGAACATGAAGGTGTGTGTGTGTGTGTGATTCAAGAGCAAACTACTGTCAGGTCCTCCATTTTGTGCTGACTACAGGGCAGTGTGGTCAGTAAACACCCTGACGCGAGGACTATAAGATAAGACCAGGCAAAAGCCAGGAGCACACAAGAACAAGAAGTCACTCTCATTCCTGGATTCAAGAGCTGGGCTTGATTACAGTCACACACATTAGCACTCACGCAATGAATACATGATTGAACTGAAGGCAAACCAATTGCACGTGGGTGCAGCACTGCAGCACATCATAACTAACTACTGGACATATTACGACACCCGCATGTTGATGTTCTTTGTGAAAGCCTCTCTAGTGGAGAGGAGCGAGGCCTCTGCCTTGTTCTTCCAGCGATTCACACATGTTCTTCGTTGTTTGGCAATGCGTCTGACTATGATCAAAAGGAGCGAGGCCTCTGGCAGGCATGCTCTTCATTCTCCAGCAGGGCTATTGGCCCATGCTCAAGATGGTCCTGTGCCGGAAATTGAACCTTTGACACCCTAAGGAGTTGGATGGTTAGGAAATGTGAAAAGAAACAGCTTTAGAGAATACCTGCATCATGCTATTATGCGCAAGGGACATTTGTGTCTCAACGAAATGTGAAAAGAAACAGCTTTAGAGAATACCTGCATCATGCTATTATGCGCAAGGGACATTTGTGTCTCAACCACATGCCTCGCTTCCTCGTCATTTGACCTTTGCCGGAGCAAGCATAACAGGTCGAGAAGGTGAAGTTCAGCATTCTTTGCATCTTGGTCTGCAACCGATAAATATCTGTCATCCATGGATGCAGACCATCTTGGATCTTCATTAAATCTCTTACTGTCTGCGAGCACCCGCTCCTCTCTCTGGTTGTTGAACCGATCCCAGACGAGCCAGTACACGGTGCAAAGCTCCATCGTGCTCATGTCCCAGCACTCCAGGATTCGACGCAGCCGGCGACTCTCCATCTCCATCCACGACTTTTCCAAGCCTTGTCCTCCACTGTAGAAGAAGTCGTAGATAATGTTCAGCTCCCCTTCTATGTTCCTTCGTTGTTCCAAAGTCATTGGGTGTGGATCATCATCCCGATTGAGTGCAAACTCCTCTAAGCAATAGAGGACAGCAGAAGCTACTTTCCTCACCGTAAGACGGAGCACACTTGGACACAGCCATTGGTTCATGACCATGAGATGGTCACTCAAATAATTCTGAAGTGGGATCATGCGTTCGTCCAGACTTTCTCCGTCACCTATGTTTGAAATGTGGAGAAGCTCACTGGCAATACGGTTCTGTTCAAGATGGATAACAACAAACCAAAAATCAAACATCAGAAAATAAACCAGATGCGCAAACCCAGGAGATCAAGATGCATGAGCAATACCCTTACCATCAACAAGCGCAGACGGCAGTTGCAGCTACAAACTTGCCAATTAGGGGATTTTAGCCCAAATCCACATGTGTCTGAAGTTTTGCCGTCAGATTGGAGGATGGAGTCCATCTCTATACGCCTGTCATATTGGATCAGTTTGGATCGGCCCGTAGGAGTATAGCCTAAACCAACGGCATATAGCGGGCACTACTCAAGGCGGGAAAGAGAATGGTTAGCAGTTGATTGAACATTGGGTAGTGCAGGGCTAATGAGCGAGAGCGAGTGACAAAAATCCAAACTGCATCATCAGATTGCATTTCCAGATAATTGTGTGATGTATGGGGCATATTGTACCAATTATACACCAAATAAGAGCAAAACAATGAACTCAATTGCCAATGTTAGCCCTGATCTCGCCACCATCAACGAAGTATTCAGTGTCCCTCTCCGGATATGGTGCCTGGCACCCACACTGTGATAACACAGCACCTATCTACCCTAGCAACCTACGTACGATGCAACCCGAAGACTTCAGCACCAGCTACGTGTCCTCTCTCTCTCTCTCTCTCTCTCTCTCTCTCTCTCTCTCTCTCTCACACACACACACACACACACACACACACACACACACACACCTCCCTGTCTGTTCCCCCATGTGTCGTCCCCTCTCCCAAGGACCACCATCCAAACCCCACCGGCATACCGCACAAGCAGCCCAGCTATGGCTGCTGTGCAGCGCTGCAAAGTGCCCGTGCGCACAACCTTTTCCTGGCCAGCGCCTGCCCAGTCGCACTTAGTGGTAGGGCTGCCACAGCATATGCCAGTCAGAATGCCTGGCTGGGCAGCGGGCACTCTCCTTCATGGAAAGTGCTCGTCACGAGGGGGGGGGCAGTACCTTGACGTCCCAGTCGAGGATCCCCCAACTGTGCGACATGGTGCACGCTGTTTGCTAAGCTCTCATTCTCTGGCTGGCAGTGTGTGACATGTCAGCCTGGGAAGGCCTCTACATGCAGCCCAGGGCCCAATTGCACATGTACTGAAGAGTGCAGGTTTGTCCCCACCAGGCTCGGGAAAACCCGCCCCTGCGACCTACCAGGCCCGCATGACATTACGGAGGGCTTGGCAGCAGGAACCTATGCGAGGGCCTATTCCTCGCAGTAGGTTTAGGACAAGGATAAGAACTGGTTATGTGAGGGCCTATTCCTCTACAGAGCCTCGACCTCAATAGTCAACATGTCAGCGAAGGGATAAGAACTGGTTTTGCCCAAAAGGACAGCAAATCCCATAAATACACAAGATGAGAACCATTCTTGTATTCATCCGGCAACATCCATTTTCAAAAATCATTCCTACCATCATCCTCCTTTAGGATCACTGGGTAACAAAGTTGCATAAATAACGGGGGGAGTAAGTCAATCTCCAAATTATCCTTCTTCAGGATCAACAGTACAGGTAAGGCACACGAGCTACAATACATGTGAAGCATGGTCGTCTCACTCTGGCAAACATACACTGTTAGATCATTCATAAAGAAATACAACTGAAGCAATTCTCCCCACTCGGCCTCCTTGTGCCAAAAAGAACACCCCACCCCTAGAAATGTGACATTCCGGTCAGACACAGATGTAGGAAACAGATGAAACCAAAATGACATTTGGAAGAGAACTGACCTGCATGTTTTCTACAATGGATCCAACGACATTCATGTATGTGAGGTTGATGGCTGACTGCAAGGCACGGAAATGATCTCCAACTCTTGGCTCATCTGGCTTCAGGCACTTGTTTATCACTTCAAATGGCGACAAATCGTCCTCATCTGATATTCTGTACATCAGATTTCATTGGCAACCATACTTCAGCCTCTTGACTTTAAGCGCGTACTCAGAACTTCCAACGGTAGTGCATGAAGCATACCTACGCCCTAGATCCACATCACTCCCGGCGTGTACAAGCAAATGTCACCTTTCATTCATTAACAACAGGCTAATGGAAGCTGGACCACAACCTTGGGTGTAGAGTCTGTAGACCCAATTCAACTGGACTTGGAATTTGCCTTCCTCAGGAGTAACAGCTAGAGCGAGACGCTGGCATTATCTTTCAAAAAAAAAACAGCTCTAGAGTAGACGGTTGCTAAACTAATTCCAGAATGGAGACTTGCCAATGCCCCGGGTCTTCTGCAACCGGATTAACCTTTTGTGGTTCGAACAGGTAACAGTTGAAAATATGGAAAGTCGGGCCCCATAAACTGACTTTTCGAGGTTTTCAAGAAATTTGAAACACTTTGCTTGCACGGCGAAATTGAAAAGGATTTTTTTGGCTCTTTTTGCATTTTTTTTCAAATTTGGTGCCGATAACATACCACCTGCAATCAAGGAACCCAATCATCTGGAAGGGTCAAGACTCAAAAGGGACAAGAAAAAAATCCTTGTTCAATTTCGTCGAACGTCAAGCGAATATTTTTTATTGAAAACTTCAAAAAGTCAAATCATAGGTTTTGCGAATCCAGCCTGCGTTGCTCACATCAAACGTCACAGGGGAACGACCATGCCAGGACCTCTGCCTCCCTCAGGCTGAGGAATGACAAATTTGGATGGAACAGTCAGCAAGGCAACTGAGTGAAGGTCTTGAGCACATTTGTCCTGTACATCCAGTGGTCAGGCAATGTTGTATAGCTGTCTGCCGACAGGTATGGCGCACGCCCAAGAATCACCAGAGACGACGGAAACAACAATGCAATGCAGGTCAGTTCCTGCTTGCAGAAGAGGCGCTCACAGCGACAAGCACTAGATGGGGAGCGTGTGTGGAGAAGGGAGTGTGGCAGATCAAATGTATCTGGTATGAACGCCTCCGCAGATAGAAGAAGAGTGAGGAGTCATGAGACACGTTGAAAGGCTTCCATGACCTCCAGGCCAACCTCAATGACATCCTGCTGTCTATCCCGCAGGAATGGGTGGTCAAGCTGACAGCACCTTCCCACTGGACTAGGGGAGACTGGGTCACAATGACAGCAGAGTCCACACCAGCAACGGCCCTGGCCTTTGTGGCCCGAGCGAAACCAGACGGGCAATGGCTCCTCTTTGGCATGCATGCCATTGACACACCGCAGATGGGACAGTGGCTACTCTTTGGCATGCATGCCATCGACACCCCGGACATGCTGACGAGCAAGCTGACCAAAGGTAGCACAGGACAAGTAGCGGTCAGAAGAACTGTTATGCAAGATCAGGGTAGCGGAGGAAGAAGACCTTATGATCTACGGACCCTTGATAGCGATCAGCGACCTGGAAGTGGACACGGCGGAGTGGGCGTGGAGGCTTCAGAAACAGTAAGGCGCCGCACAAAGACGAGTTAATCTCCTGAAATATATCACACGGCTGGGGTACAAGCTGAGACGACTGCCCATAGCAGTCCGAGACGTCATCGTGGAAAGATGGGTCACACACACCAGCACCAATCTCGTAGGCCTGCCTGAAATCCCCTGGCCAAAAATACTAGTGGTCAAGAACACCCGAATAAGGAGTATGCAGTGGCTGATCGCCTACCTCGCCCTACTTGTTAATCCATGGCTTAGCAGAAGATGCAGTCCAAGCTAGCGAACCCCCTTCGACGACCTCTGTGCAATCTGTGACACAGGCCAGCACGAGGACATCTTGCACTGCCTGATTACTTGCCCAAAAGCTCACCAGGGTCGCGGGTCTCTGGCTACGGTTGACTGATACTCCATTCCCCACAGCAACACTTGAGACACTCTACGAGGTTCGAGAACGTAACATACAAGGAGACTGTCCATCGCAAGCTGTACAACAGACTCAGGCTGCTGGTGCCCTGGGTAATCTGGAAAAGATGCTGTCATCAGACAATAGACAGACAACAGCAGTCAGCAGAACAGGTCTGCTCGTCTTCTTGCTCGAAATGATATATTGGACTTGGTCCACGTGGGCCAAGCTGCAACGAGACATGCGCAGCAACCCGGACGGGGCACGGGAGCTCTACGACAATTTTTTTACAAGGGTCCTGGGCACGGAAAGAATAGGTACAGTGGCTTCGGGAGGACTCCGTTTCATTTGGTCCAGAGCTCGGGTGCCCCCCAAGGGACAGATGCAGCAGCCCACACATTCAGTGCCTAGCCAGCCACAGAGTTCAACGGGAAGCCTGGCATCCACTTAGAGAAACAAGGTAGGGGCTCCCGGTGAGGAGGTTAGGTCGAGAGTGAGAGGGATGACCATAGAGCCAGACACTGGAAACAGACACAATTGGCAGGGTCAAGCAAGGAGGAACCTCTGGTAGGAAGGCAGGGGCGGAGCGGTGGTACATCCTTCCATGAAGGAAATAATCAATGCCGCTGTCTCAGCATCTCTCAGCCATGATGGGGAGATGTATTGGGGTGAGTCTTTGATGTACGGGATGCTGGACCCTGTTGTCATCTATAATGGAAAGTCCAAATATTTCTCGAGGAGAGGGGCGGGGGGRGGGGGGRGGGGGGGGGATTCAATGCAGGGGAAGACTGAAATCAACCAATCTGACTCACGAAAAACATGACACTGACAATGCAATCATCACAAGCAGCTAAACGAGAAGGGAGACATCTATGGAGGAAAGATCCCTCTTTGCTCATACACGATCATGGGGTGAAACCATGGATGATGAGGGAATGACCAGGACAAAAGAAAAAAAGCAGGGCCAAGATGAAGGATCCAGGATCAGATACAAGGTATGGAAATATGTCGGGGAGCTTTGAGCGGGGTCAGGAAACTGCAGGACGGGTATGGCTGGGTGTAACAAACGGTGCCTGGGCAGGTGCAGCTGGATGAGGCAAAGTCATAGGTCCAGTTACTGGTGGGTAACGGTTTGGCCCAGGTGTCACAGGGACTACAAACGTGTGCAGGTACTATTAGGGTCAGCCAACACTGGTGTGATCTTCATGCCAACCAACAAGGCATTGAACCTGGTCTGGTTCTTGGAACGCCAAGATCCATGCTTTCATAGAATGAACATAGCACCAGCGGGGCCTGACCATAACATCGATTCAGCTTAACGTGCATATTCCAAGGTTTGTTTTTTTTCCGTTTTCTCAGGTGCCGAGGCTGTAGGCCTTTTTTTCCTTAAGTCGTGGGGACTCCGTTTGTTTTTTGCTTTTTCTCAACTGGTGGCGCCACTACGGCCGCTCAAATTCAAACTTCAACTTCAATTAGCAGCTGTTGGGCCACTGGCTAGCGCTGGAAATTCCAAAATCGGAAAGCCCTGTAGGACAGGTAGAAAATCCAACCAGTGCGAGAGGGTTTTCTGACATCGTAATAAATCCTGTGATGCATGCACATGTTGGGTGCTGAGCCAATGTGGCAAGCGAGTGCGCAGATGTGGTGAGCTCGCGTGTTCTGCAATCTTCCTACTCTACTCCAAGCGTGGTGAGCAAGTGCAAAGCATTGAGCCACGTGGTAAGCAAGTGCCAAGCATGGTGAAAGTGGTACCTAAGGTCGCGCGTTCGACCTAGTGCAGTCAACAAATATTGAGCCTGGGTATGGCCAGGTGCAGATGGACAAATTGGGCCGGCCTGATGCAGGTGGACGAAAATTAGGCCTAGGTGTGGCTGGGTAGGGGTAAGGCTTCTATTGCAGATGCTGCGTGGGTCGGGTATTATGGGTAGGCAAACTTTAAATGAGGCTAGGTAAGTCTGGCTCTGGGTAAAAATTGTGCATTCACATGAACTTGGTTGCATATGATACACAAAGGGTTGTGTCTGGTCAAACATAGGTACGAAAAAAAATGGTTTGGCAACCTCTGCCTCCAATAGCCTCCCAACACCATATAAAGTCTGAACCAGGAGATTTCCTCCCAGGAGGGCCGCCATCTCTCTCTCTCTCTCTCTCTCTCTCTCTCTCTCTCTCTCTCTCTCTCTCTCTCTCTCTCTCTCTCTCT